GCTATTGTAGGAAGTAATAATGCAATAGATAACATGATGGAAAATCTAGTTGTTTTCTGAATCTTTTTACGCAGAGCAAAGGGACCTTTTGGGATGCAAGTAGAGCCATGATGGCAAATCTATGGCACGTGTGCCACAGGGAGCAGGCAGAGCCATTTGTGCAGGCACGCAAGCCCCAACTAAACTTATGTGCGTGCCTCCCAGCTGATTTTTGGCCCGTTTGAGGCCATTTTTGCCCTCCCGGAAGCTTGAGGGAAGCCTCTGCAGCCTCAGGATGCTGAAAATGGGCCTTACGGAAATACCGGAAGTGCCGAAATGGGTCTGTTTTCAGCCTCCGGAGGGCCTCTGGAGCTTGGGCGAGGTCGTTTTCGCTCTCCCGGGGGCTTGAGGGAAACCTCTGTAGCCTTGGGAGGCCGAAAAACAGGCCTTCCGGAAATACCAGAAGTGCCCAAACAGGTCTGTTTTCAGCCTCCGGAGGCTCCAGAGGCTTCCCTCAAGCCTCCGGGAGGGTGAAAACAGCCTCCCCCAAGCTCCAGAGGCCCCCTGGAGGCTGAAAACGGGCACTTCTGGTATTTCCGGAAGGCCCGTTTTTCCGCCTCCCGAGGCTGCAGAGGCTTCCTGGCATGGGAAAAACAGCCTCAAACGGGCCAAAAAATCAGCTGGGAGGCGCATGCATGTGCAGAGCAGGTAAGGGGGCAGAGGGTGTTGTGTGTGCATGTGCAGGGGGTGCATAGGGCACATTGCATTGTGGGTGCTGGCACACATGCATGCTATTGTGCGCGCATGCAAACCACAACAAAAAGGTTCATCATCACTGAAGTAGAGAATATTACTATAGATTGTAACATCCTCATGTTAGGGAAAAAGCTTACCTTTGGCAAAGTCACAGCCAGTTTGCACAGGAGGGACTCTTGTTCACGGTCTTCTAGCGGAAGAGGTTCTACGTTGATGAGGGCCACGTCTTTTGTCACTTTGTAAAATAAGGCAGTTCCTTTATAATGGGGTGAACTGTAGTTACCAAATTCATCCACTTCCTTGATCTGAAGAGCAAGTCGCGGTTTTCTCTGTGCATGAAAAGCAAGCTTGTAATTTTTTCCATAGGTGTTCCCGTCATCTGCACAAGTGCAACGCAAATGTTAAGCTACCACTCAATTAAAAACAAAAAAACAAAAATATCAAGTGCTTTAACTGGTCCATTGATTTCATTTGGCACAGAAATCTTCCTCCCTTCCTTCCTGTTTTGAATCTCTAAAACAAACGGTTGGTTTAGACTGGATTGTGAGATCGAAGCAGTTGCTTCCAACTCAACGTAACAACAATTGTTTTATTTAAAAAAAAAGAATTCATAGAAAAGACCTTCTCCTTCATTCCCCCAAATCAATCCAAACAGGACCAACTAAACCAGTTAACTGGAATTAAGGAGAAACTTCCTAACAGTGAGGACAATTAGTCACTGGAACAGCTTTGCCTTCAGAAGTTGTAGGTGCTCCGTCACTGGAGGTTTTTAAGAAGAGACTGGACAATGGCCACTTACCTGAAATGATATAGGGATGTGATGGCGAACCTATGGCACGCATGCCACAGGTGGAACAGAGAGCCATTTGTGTGGGCACGCAAGCCCCAGGCAAACTTACCTGACTGTGCATGCATGCGCCTCCCAGCTGATTTTCAGGCCTTTTTTGGCCTGCCTCTGCAGGCTTTGCAGGACAAAAAACAGGCCTGTTTCATCACTTCCTGTATTTCCGGAAATACTGGAAGTGATGAAATGGGCCAATTTTTCGGCCTGCAAAGGCTTCCCTCAAGCTTCTGGCAGGCTGAAAAAGGCCTCAAACGGGCTGAAAATCAGCTGGGAGGTGCAGTGCAGAATCGTGCATTCATGAACAGGGGGCATGGGGAGGCAGGTGCATTGCCTTCTGGGTGCTGGCACATGAGAGCACGCACACAAGCATGCACACATTTTTGGCATAGGAGCCCCCAAAGGTTAGCCACCACTGGTAGAGGGTCTCCTGCTTGAATAGAATAGAGCTGAAAGGAACCTTGGAGGTCTTCTAGTCCAGCTCCCTGCTCAAGCAGGAAAATCTATACCATCTCAGACAAGAGCTTGAGCTGGGGGCTGGACTAGAAGACCTCCAAGGTCCCTTCCAGCTTTATCCTGATTGATTGACCTTAATTTGGAAAGATACTGTAATCTAAATACATGATTTGGAAGCCAGCTTTGACAATTTGAACTGTATCATGGATCCACGCAGGGTTTAACTCAATGGGAACATCCCTGTTATTTACCACTCTTTTCATAAAATGGGTTTTTTTGTCTGTCTGTGTAACATTAGTGCCTATTCTTTGAGTAAACAATGCATTATGATAAACGAAGCTCCCTGGAGCCTGGCTGAATTTCATTACCTCTGTAATTAAAACATTACACTGTTCCTGTTAACTGGGAATAAACTCTTGTTCTTAAAGTCATCTCCAAACCACAATTTTCAGCCTGGGCTGCTGGGAAAAAAAAAACTCTCCCTGCAGTGCCAACTATTGGAGGAAGGATCAAGGAAGGATCTAATCTAGAACTAAGGAGGAATTTCCTCATGGTGAGAACAATGAATCAGTGGAACAACTTTTCTCCAGAAGTTGTGACTTCTCTATTACTGGAGGTTTTTAAAAAGAGTTTGGACCGTCTTTCATTGGACTAAATGGCTTTCAAAATCTCTTCCTACTGTGTTAATCTGTTCTCTTCTGTTCTAATCAAGATTAAACATCAGCTCCAGGAATAATGGGATAGATTGTCCCCCCGAGGCAACGATTTGGTACTTCCTATGCTTATAACTGACTCAAAACCCCAGCTACCAACCGTGCAAAGGCAAAATTCTGTGCTGCTACAATGACCACAAGGAATAATTCAGTTACAGAATGATAGATGTCAACTTGCGCCAATTTTGTGTGTGGACATCTTGTACCATTTTTAGAGAAATTATACTTACACACATACGTATCTGCTCTCCAATCATGTAAACAAGGGCAAGATCCAAACTATTTGAGAGCATGTATTTTATTATGATGGATGTTATTATCCACTATTAGCAATAGCAGTAGCACTTAGACTTATATGTCACTTTCCAGTGCTTTCCAGCCCTCTCTAAGCGATTTATAGAGTCCAGCGTGATGCCCACAACAATCTGGGTCCTCATTTTACCCACCTCAGAAGGATGGAAGGCTGAGTCCACTTTGAACCTGGTGAGATTCGAATTGCCAAATTGCAGGCAGCCAGCAGACAGCAGAAGTAGCCTGCAGTACTGCATTCTAACCACTGCACCACCACTATTATTATTAGTATTATCTTTTAATGCTATTATAAACAGTGATTATTCTTGTCTATTGCTGGTCTATGACCGTAATAAAGTTCTATTCTATTCTGTCAATCCATTGGACACCACCCCCTCAAAAAAAAAAACCCCAAAAAACCAATTCCAACAACAACTAGGAGAAAGAGAATTATTCAAACATCATCTTTAGACATGTGGCGAAAACAGATAAGCCGAAAATAATGAGCCAGGCTGTGAGGAAGAGACTGTTTAGGCCTCTCTCTAAAGAAAGATTTCATTTTCTGATGAATGAGGTTTATCTGGCACTAGCCACACTCACCCATCAGATAGATGGCAGAGCTGGTGTGTTTGTTACAAGCTGATTACACTTTGCCTTTGCAATGACAGGACTGCGTCTGCCATACGTTTCAATTGTGGTTTGCATGAATTTGATTCATCTTTGATTCTTTCTCATGGTCGGCTGCCTTCATTGTCTTTTCACTCCCTTTCAGGTGACCAAAAAAAAAAAAAGGGTTATAAATCCAGTTAGAAGTAATCAAAATATAGAACAAAGATATGGAAGGGGTAAGGAAGAAAGGGTTGTGTCAATGGCTTGTTCTTCAAGGTTCTTGAGTTCACTGAAAGTGGACTTCCTCTCCTCCATCTCTCAGAACTGTGGAACTTTTGGGACTGACCCTAAGAGATTTAAATCACAACTAGCAGAATGTCTTTATGTATGTTTTTGTGTGTGTGTGGTGTGTTTATCAGGTTTATTCTGAAGCCTCAGTGGTGAAATAGTAAACCACAAGAAAGTGGAAGACTGAAGTGAATCGTTTACTCATTTTTCAAATAAATGCCTCACATATATATTTAGGAAGCACAGAATCATCTAACCTTCTTATTTGGGGGAGGGGATACTGTGGTGATTTGTTCCTGCCAGAGCAAAATGCACATCTGTCAGAATATTCATGAACTGTCAAAGACATGGTAACAAGGTCAGCCAATGAATAGGCATAGCAACTAAGTCAGCCAATAAGGACTGTTTGGAAACTGAAACTGGAAGGAGCTTGGGCAGGGCTCTAGATTAAGCTCTGAGCTCTGAAGCTGCAAACTAGTCTGCAACTCTGAATCAAAACTGAAATTGTTCTCTGTTGTTCTCTCCTCTGCTTGTGTTTTGCCTGTAACTGCTGCCATGTTGGAAGAATCTGCTGTTGGTATTGTATATTTACTTCAGAAGTTATGATGTATATAAAGAAGTTAATGAATCCTACTGAATCAGTTATCTGTTGTGCCTTGTGGATTTCATTTTCTGCAACAAACTCTAACAATGTCTGAACGGACTTTAGTGCTAGAACCGATTAAGATCTTATACATATCAGGAGCCATCAATCCTAAAATCCATAAATCCATTAACCATTAAGTGATTACTATAAGAAATGACTGAAGAAGCTGCTCACACACTAAATAACCCTGTCAAGAAAGCAAAACCATTTTTTTAAATCTTTGAAAGTCTCATTTGTAAAGTCCAAAGAGCAGTGACCGATAGCCTGCAACAATGTACAAAATGGAATTATGAATTATTAAAATGGATTTACCTGAAGCACAAATGTTTCCACTGAATTTAAAGTAAACCTGCTCTCCTTCTCTCATTTTAAATGGCTTTGAAGGCTCTGGAGGACCAGAATATCCCTCTTCATGTAGAGACTGCAGCTCCATGCTTAATTCCTTGGAAGGAACCAGTAAGACGAGAATCTTGTAAGGGTCTTCTTTATTCTGATATAGTACCACTTTCACCATGATGTTGTGGATGGCATGTTCCAAATTCTGAATAAACTGAACGAGATGTACATTGTCCATAGCAGAAGATAAGCGAACGATAATAAATCTGTGTAAAGAGGAAGACTTGTTCAGGTCTTGGGATTTAAGAGTGAACCAACAGTGAAACTGATGCAATATAGGCTGATGCAATAAGAACGAATCAGCATAGCATGGATATTTCCCTTTAAGACTGGGGATGGGTTCTACCCCTTTAAGAGGTGTTTATATAAAGGAAGCCATTAGAGGGCATGTGCTCTCTCTTTGTGTCTGGTATTAATTGCAGAGTTTTCCCTGTAGAGTTAAAAAGAAAAAAGATTGCATGTAAGGTGTTTTGCCTACCACGTATATGTCTGTATATAACTGTTGTAGATAAACCACTGTGAAATGTCTAAGTCTCTGTGTGCTGTGTTTCTCTCCTGGGTTGTCTCATAATAACAGTCACTTTGCAAACGCTCTGACAAGACTAGGATGTGACAAAGCAAAGAAAATATTGGAGTAGGAGTCACATCTGAATGCAGAAGATTCTCAGTGAATAAAAAGATAAATCCAGAAACTTTTCTTTGGGGTTTAATGGACAAAGACTTGGGGAGGGGGGGAATTGGAACCTTAATGCTAGGCTTTGTGCATAAAGTAATCTTGATGGCAGCAAGATTACTTTGTGCACAAAAATGGAAGGACACATTGATCCCCATAATGGAGGAATGATTGCAAAAGGTGATGGAGTTAGCAGAGATGGCTAAATTGACTGCTTTGATTAAAGAAAAAGAAATATAATCACTTTCATTTCTACTATGTTTCACCTAAAATAAGACCACTCAGAAAATAAGCCCTAGGATGGTTTTTCCAGGGTGCACATAATACAAACCCTTCTCCAAAAATAAGCCTCATCTAAGATTGTCAGTCAGACGGACACATTTAGTGCCATACTTCCTCGAAAATAAGACCTAACCAGAAAATTAGACCTAATGAATCTTTTGGAGCAAAAAACCAGGGCCCATTCTTATTTTTAGAGAAACATGGGTACTTGGAAACCACTAGTGGACTGTGTGCCTGAGGTGGAAAAAAATGCAACATTGATTTTGGGTTTTGACAATAAGATAGGTTTGCGGTTTTAGAAATGGCTAATTTATATTACTATGTAGAAGTAAAAAGTTGAGGTTTGATGCTATTATCTTATTCTACTGCACCAAAGGGAGTTGGGAATCAACACTTTTTCTTTCTTTTTTTCCCATTACTCTACACTTTTTGCCTTCCCTTCTTCCTCCTTTACTTTCTCACTTTTTTCTTTTGTAAACTTGTATTTTATATTATAAACGAATTAAAAAAAAAAGCTGAAGACGAAGTTTGCACTAGGTGCTTGTATCTTAAATAAACGGTAGATGCAAAGACACAGAAGATACAGATATAGGAGAGACCTGGAACAGTAATGCAGGAACATATAATTCCAAGGAGATCTGAGAGGATTTATAAAGGTATGCCTGCTGAATGGTTCACAGCAAGTGAGGTTAGAGCATACAGTGTTAGGTATGAACTCAAACTCTTCAGGAGATGATGTCATTGCCAGAAAGGAAAAAGGCAGTCGGGCGCAAATGGTGTTACACAGATGTATTATTACATAATGATGGACTACAGTGTAAAGCAAGGTTTGTTGCACATGGTTTGTAATATTGTTTGCTGACACTGTAACTGGACATAACCTGGTATGTACATTTGTTAAAGGATGTAAATGTAAATGTATAAGATGTACAAGTATTTGTAAACTGATAAGTTAAAAAAGCCTGCATCTATGGAAAATATAATGACCATGTAAAAGCACTTGGATTATCATCTGTTCAGCTTTAAATGTGAGGAGTGTTAAGGTATTGGGATTTAAGAGCTGACCAGATGTAAAGCTGATGCAATGTAAGGCTGATGCAATGAAGATGAATCAGCATTGACATTGCCCTTTTAAGACTAAGAATGGATCCACAGAAGTTTTACCTCTTAAGAGGTGTCTATATAAAGCAGCCATTAGAGGGCATTTTTTCCTCTCCTTGTGTCCTGTATCCATTGCAGAGTTCTCTCTGTATAGTTAAGAAGATTGATTGCTTGACAGGTATTTACCTACCATATACATTTCTGTATGTGTCTTGTATATAAACCACTGTTAAATCTCTAAGGCATGTTTTGCTCCTGGGTTGTCTCACAACAGTAGCCACTGTCAACTCATAAAATATTTCTATGGTCTTTTTAGAGTTGCGAACAGAAAGGGAGGGGGGAGCAGTGGAAATTGAAAGTGCATTCCATAAATAGTTTTCAAAGATAGTAACTAGGTGACTGAAGTTTCTGCCATGTAAAATTCTAGCTCATTAGAGGATATGAATTATGATACACCCAGAGGTGGGGGAAAACCAGGGTCAAGGGTGACAATGAATGATGTGCCTCAGAGTCGGCTACACCCAGGCAGTGCTGGACATGCTTACTCCCAATAAATCCTTTTGAAGATTTGGAAGTTTGGCTCGAGACTCATGATTTAAATGGGGCAATTGCCGGAATCCTGACAGTCACTCTGACAGTAGAAAACATTAGAGATGGTAAGATATTGCTGTAGAATCCAACACAGAGGGAAAGCTATGGCAGTTAAATTATAAAAGTGTTGGCTTTTGCTGTCTTCAATGAGGAAGTGGGATTTTCAGATATGGGTTGTCCACAACTGAAGGTTTTAAGAAGAGACTGAAAAGAAACCACTCCGGAATGATGATGTAATTAGTGTTCTAGGATATTGTGAGCACTTTGAACTCAATGGTTCTACCATCCTAAACCTGATTCTGTTGATCAAAGGTGAAGAATAGCTGCTTAGCCCTTGGAATAGGATGGTCACATCTGCAGGGGTAAATAATAAAAAGATTAAAAAAAATTAGAAAAGCAGAGATTTTGCTTCCACTGAGGATGTCCAGGATGTTAATTAAATCTGCCTTCTTGCAGGTTGCTAGACAATTTCTTGATTTACTATCTTTTATCATTTTTTTAAAGCTACCAGGCGGCTTTAAAATCAGGGGTCCCCAACCTTCAGGCCATAGACCACCAATCAATCAACTGTTGTAAGTCGAGGACTATCTAGTGGACAACCAGCTAAATATGAGCCGGTAGTGTGTGGCGGCAGCCAAAAAAGCCAATGCAATATTAAGTTGCATTAAGTGAGGGATACATTCAATATCAAGGGAGGTACTAATACCACTCTATAAAGCCTTAGCAAGGCCACACCCTGAGTACTGCATCCAGTTTTGGCCACCACACTATAAAAAGGATGTTGAAGCTCTAGAAAAAGTGCAGAGAACAGCAACCAGGATGATTAGGAGACTGGAGACTAAAACATATGAAGAACGGTTGCAGGAACTGGGCATGGCTAGTCTAGTGAAGAGAAGGACCAGGGGAGACATGATAGTGGTCTTCCAATATTTGAGGAGCTGCCATAGAGAGGAAGGGGTCAAGCTGTTTTCCAAAGCCCCCAAAGGCCAGACAAGGAATAATGGATGGAAACTGAACAAGGAGAGATTCAACCGGGAAATAAGGAGACATTTTCTGATAGTGAGGACAATTAACCAATGGAATAGATTGCCACCAGAGGTTCTGGATGCTTCAATCCTGGAGGCTTTCAAGAAGAGATTGGACTGCCATTTGTCAGAAATGATGTAGGGTCTCCTGCTTGGGCGGGGGATTAGACTAGATGACCTACAAGGTCCCTTCCAACTCTGTTAATCTGTACCTATCTGTACTGATTGAAAGATTGAAAACGGATGAAATGATCGCCCCCCTCTTCTCCTACTTCATGATCTGAAAGAGGGTGAATCAATGTCATTCTGCTTTTATGATCGATGGGTTGGATATTTTGGAATTTCACGCAAGCCAGTTAATCAGCGATGCCCTGTTCATCTACACATTGGACGAATCCATCTCACCTCTCTAAGGGTTCCTCCAAGTCAACGGACACAAGACCGTTCCTTGCATTTCTCACGGTGATGTCATCCAGTAGCATCCATTCTTCTTCACTGTTTCTGTAGCCCATGACTTTCAGTGGTTCCTTCAGGTTCTCCCCGTGTTTCCTTGGGGAAGCACTGAGACCTCTGGAAAAATCACAAGAGTAGAGCAAAGAATATACCATCCATCCACCCTTCCCTGTTTTTTCCCTGCTTCTTACTGTCTGGGCTTTGTGATCCAAGACCAACATTTATTTTGAAGTAGATCCTCCTAGCCTTACCAAATAAAGGTAAAGGCTCTAGGGGGGCAGTGCTCAACTCCGTTACAAAGCTGAAGAGCCAGCGCTGTCTGAAGATGTCTCTGTGCTCATGTGGCCGGCATGATTAAATGCCAAAGGTGCACAGAATGCTGTTATGTTCCCACCAAAGATGATCCCTATTTTTCTACTTGCATTTTTTACATGCTTTTGAACTGCTAGGTTCACAGGAGCTGGGACAAGTAATGGGAGCTCACTCCATTACATGGCACTCGGGATTCAAACCGCCAAACTGCCGACCTTTCTGATCGACAAGCTCAATGTCTAAGCCACTGAGCCACCACGTTCCTTACCAACTAGTATTTCTTTAATTGCAACAAATGTGTATTTCTTTCATGATCCCACTTTTCAACTTTCAAAATGCCCCAGCCAGAAAGACTAAAGAGAAAGTCAGCTTGGGTATTATAGGACGTGAAAGCGGTTTTGGTATATTTTTAATTAAATTTTCATTATAGATAAAAACCAGCTACACTGGTGGGTTGGAAGGTTTCTACTATTTTTCATTAGAATTATACAAAGGCAACAAAAAAATAATAAAAGCTGTGCCTCAGAAAGATTGCTAAGAAGATCTGATTGACTTTACATGAAGTTAAATTGCTATTGTTCAAGTTGGCAATCCCTGACAGTTCAGAGGTCAATATATAGATGTTTAAATCAGTTTTCTTAATCTTTTCCCTCTCCATTTGCATTAAATTATATCTCCCATGATGATTAGCCAGCATAATTTATGAATCACAGCAGAGGTGGGTATTCAGCAGGTTCTGACCAGTTCTGGAGAACTGGTAGTAGAAATTTTGAGTAGTTCAAAGAACCAGGAAATACCACCTCTGACTGGAGATTTTACAGTATTGTTGTGGTTCACCAGCAGCAGGTGCGGATGGCCGAAGTCTTGGAGAACAAAGACTCAGATGAGGGGCCTGTGTGTGATGCAGGGATGGGGACAGGACCATCAAGGAGTGGAATGCTGCTTTCGGAAATTGTGGAGGCTGGCAGCAGTGATGAAGAGGTCCCTGAGGAGCCTGTGTCCAGGGCATGTGCACATAGGGCTTCTCAAAGGAAAGAGCAGCTGCAGCAGCACGGGAGACTCGGGAGTAAGGCTGCAATGTAATGGCCCCTCCCTTCAGAGATAAAAGCCAGCTGAGAAACCGGAGTTCTTTGCAGGAAGCAAAGAAGTGTTTGCACTCAAGCCTTGTGGATGTTCGGACTCTCTTAGTTGGTGTCTGGAGACTCTTTGTGTTTGAAAGAGTTCTTGGCAACTTTATCTAGTGTTCTTGGCAGCCTTGCACAACCTTGGCAAGGTTCGTTCTTATCAGAGACAATTAGTTTGAAACAGCCTTTTAACCATGAAGGAACGGAATTTGTGAAGAACCATTAAAAGGTTTTGCTGTTACCTCCATCTGGTGTTTGCTTCCTTGGAACAAGGTTTGGGTCAGAATACCTTCCCCTGCCACGCCCACCAAGCCACACCCCCAGAACCGGTAGTAAAAAAAAATTTGAATCCCACCACTGGATCCCAGGAACAATAGCCAGCATAACCTATGGTTATCCCGCTTAGAGATACTGAGAGTTATGATCCATACAACTGGAGGATGTCAGATTACCAATAGAAGAGAATGTGTGTAGCTCAGGGCTGAACTGAGGGGTCCTTGCTCTTTGAACCCGATTGTTTTCTTACAGAGGTTTCATTATCCAAATAAGTAACATGATGGTGCAGTTGTTAGAGTGTGGTACTGCAGGCTACTTCTGCTGCCTGCTTGCTGGCTGCCTGCAATTTGGCTAGAAAAGAGGGGAAGGAAGAAGAAAGGAGAATGAAGAGGGGAGGGAAAAGAGGAAAAGGAAGGAAGGGAGATTATGAGAGGGAGGGTCTCAGGGAAGTCCTGCCTTAGCACTGGGCCACCACAGGTGCCCCCCACATTAGCCCCATGGCCATGCCCACCATGGCCACACCCCATACCCCTCTGGCCCTCTGAGGTAAAACACAACCCTGACGCAGCCCTCAGTGAAATCAAGTTCGACAGCTCTGTTCTAGTCTCTCAACATCTTGAGATGTTAGAAAGGTTGCCTTCTCTCCATAATTAAATTTGAAGAGTGGAAGAAGACAACAACGGCAAACCATTTATGGATTCTGGGTCTACCTGAGACATTTTCAAGAATGAGTTCCTTCTTATTTCTCACCGGAAGTTATGAATGCTTGTAACTCTGGGGACAGAAGCAGTCGCTGCCCTTCCGAAATCTGTCTCAATACCCTCTCTTCGTTTTTCTTGATTTGGAGGGCAAGGTAGAACTACAGTGATAGCTCTGTTGAGTGGCAGAGATGAAGAATATTCCAGGTGGACCAGAGAGCTGGTTGATATGACTGAGTGATATTCGTCATGTTTTGTTTTCAATATTGAAAGTGTGGATTGATCAATCGGCTGAACCTGCATAGAATTAATATTGAAGGGAATAGTAATAATAAATAAAGAAATTTAGTAGAATATATTATAGCATTAAGTAGAGAGTTACTCTATAGGCATTTGTTATCTTGCTGTTGTAAAAAAGATTTCCTTAACCTTTCACTTGTTGTAAAACATATGCCTGCAATCAGTTACATCCTTCTCCTATTAAGACACATGATTGTCCTATCTAAATCAATCTGAATCCACCTGTTTTCCTGGACTGATACATTTCATCCCAGCATCAACCCCTGGGAATGAAATGTACCTCCATTTGGAGGAATCCACACATTTGAAGTATGCTGTTAATAGCCTCCTTAAGTGGTCCATTGTGATCAATTAGATGGACAATAGGAGAGGAGATAATGAAAGGTAAACATTGCCGAAAGAGATTTGTCTTTTGCAGTAAATTTGTAAATCTAAGTTAGAGATATTTACAATGCAGTTACTCAACTTCTAAGAATGTTAAAGGTATAAGAAGGATAGGGCATCTTCCTGTATTTTGTAGAATTTTCCTCCCATGTCTCTTGTGATGTGCTAGGAACTTCTTCCCAGATCTTTAACTCTGATCAAAGAATAAAAGTCTGCTTTATTTAATTTGCAAGCCTCCGTTTAGGCCCCTTTGTTTTGGTTCATTTTTGGCTTAAGCGTACTTCCAGACCTTACAATATGATTGCGGGCATAATTATCATTATCATCCCTCATTCAAGGTAGTTTTGAATATTCATTCACACATGCTCAGGGATCAATGGAAATAGGAAGGAGTTTTCCAAGAACCAATGGAGGGAAACTCATCAACGAGGGAAGCAACCTAGAACTAAGGAGAAATTTCCTAATGGTGAGAATAATCAACCAGTGGAATAGCTTGCCTTCAGAAGTTGTGGGTGCCACATCACTGGACTGGACAGCCATTTGTCTGAAGTAGTAGAGATGGTACAGGATAATAAAAACAAGGACAAATAGGCTGAAAAACAGCTTCTATCTCAGGGCAGTCACTCTACTTAATTCTACTGTACAGTGCAGTATTAATGCAATATCAGGGGTTTTTTAAATTCAATGTACAGAATGGGAAGGATGTGTGTTTGTGTTTATTTTCATATTCATTATTGTACGAGGTGCAATGACAATAAAGTAAACTAAACTAAAAGCTAAACTCACCTGCTTGAACAGGGAGTTGGACTACAACTAGATGATCTCCAAGGATACCTTCCAACTCTGTTATTTTATGTTTGATGTTCTATCACTTGCCGGCGTATCTCATACCAATACATCAAAATAATAAAATTAAATCTTCATGCGGTGAGGCCCATATTCCTCTAAAGAACAAAGCTATTTGATCATGCCGCTAAATGCAACGAGGATGGAGCAGAATCCTGGAACTCTCCGCTGACCCACCACAGACTTAGCTCCAAAGGGAAGAAAAAGGTTTTCTACTTAATTTTCATGGTAGTTCGTTTACAGAAGCATAATTCAATCCTTGCACCAAGATGAATATCAAGGATAATGAAGAAGGACATGAAACATTGATTCAATTTCTCTCATTAGGTAAGGCAGAGATGTTTCTGCAGGGATCTTCATTAAATTTCCCTTCTGGATAAATTTGAAAAAGCCTGCTATAACATCGGATAAATGTCTGCAGGCAAAATAGAAACGTTCTAGCAAAATAAGGTATAATTTTGAGCTAGACGTTAGATCTAGATAGTACAGATTTAAGAAAAAAAGGCAGTCTCAAAACTGATTGAATTATGCATGAAAATTAAAAAAATTAACAGTCTTCACCCTCTTTCTCTCACACAAACAATCTGAATTTGAGTTGCCTTCTCTGGAATGAAGCCTCTCCCATCTGAGAATCCAGACTACATTCCACCACATTTCAGGATTAGGGAAAGTTGGCCGTATACCAAGTCGTAGGTGTGAACATCATTCAACCAAAGCTGAAATCTGAGTGGACAATCCACTACAAATGTGCATACAACTAGACACAAATATAGTTCCTCCCCAGTGCCATCACCCTGCTAAACAGCTAATCGGTCTTCTTAGGCCTAAACCCATATAGTAGGGCTGTATTGCTATTATCCTTCTCATCTTTCCTACTATCTTCTCCTATTGGTATCTTATTATTTATCACTTGTTGTTCGTATCTTATGATGAATAATTGTAACTATGTTGTATGATCTATGATCTATTACTTTATTGTATGTATGTACTGAGATGTTATGCACCGGAGACAAATTCCTTCTTTGTCCAATCACACTTGGCCAATAAAGAATTCCATTCCATTCTATTCTCCTCTATTCTATTCTCTGTGGCAGAATATAGTCCTTTTGAAATAACAGAATAATAGAGTTGGAAAGGACCTTAGAGGGCTTCTAGTCCAACCCTCTGCTCAAGCAAGAGACAGTATACCACTCAAAACAGGTGTCATGCCCCTGTTGGAATGTGATTCCGAGGGGGAGGTCAAACAGCTAACAGGGAGTGGGAGTGTGGCTCTCGTGGCTGTGGAGGAAACTGGGGAAGGGCACAGTGCAGCTGGGCATTCAGAGGAAGACCCAGGCCCATTCCTTCTTTATCCTAGGGCATGCAGGGAGGAACAGATAAGGGAGCAACATGGGTTATGGGGGAGAAAAAGGCCCTGATTCACTTCATTAGCTGCATCTGGGAAAACAGGTATAAAGCGCACAGCACCTTTCTGGAAGCAAAGCGTGCATTATCTTTGTTTGTCACGTCTTATCTGGGTTCTGGCGTCCTCCCAACTGTATATGTTTTGTTATCTTTTGGAAGTCTGCAATTCCTTATCCTGCCCTATCTCGTTAACTGCAGCAGCTTGTGGTTTGTGTTGGTTTTTGTTTATAATTTAGATATACTTTGGGTTTGGACTGAATTTCTTCCCTTTAAAAACGGTTCTTGGGAGAGTGTTTTCTCCAGCCGATGAAAACTGAACATTGGGGGCCAGGTTGGAGGAATTAAAGGGACTTTACCTACTTTTGTGACTTTTTTGCTTTTGTGCCATGCCACAGGTCATCACAACAGGTGGCTGTCCAGTCTCTTCTTGAAAACCTCTGGTGGCGGGCTGCAACCAGTTTAACAACCGGTTTGGTGAGTGTGCATGCGCAGCGTTAAAAAACTGCCCATTTTAAGCTTAAAAACTTACTCTCGATTCATAGAATATTTCTATGGTCTTTTTAGAGTTGCCAACAGAAAGGGATGGGGGAGCAGTGCAACAGCTTGCAAAACCGAAACTGCATTCTATAAATGTTTTCAAAGATAGTAACTAGGTGACCAAAGTTTCTGCTGCCCAAAATTCTAATTGGAGAGCATGATTGATGACTCTGGGCTATGGATGTGTCCCATTGGAGAATGTGAATTACAGTACACCCGGGGTGAAGGAAAAGCCAGGGTCAAGGGTGACAAGGAACGTTGTGCCTCAGAGTCGGCTATACCCAGGCAGTGCTGGACATGTTAATTCCCAATAAATCCTTTTGAAGTTTTGGAAGTTGGACTCGAGACTCATGATTTAATTGGGGGTAGTTGCCGGAACCCTGACGCTTACTTTCTATCTCAGTGCTGGTGAGTAAAACAGCTGAGGTGCGAATCAGCTGAGCTAAAAAAACAGGGAAATACAGGACAGGAAAGGACAGGCATAGGTGGGTGTGGCCAACTGCTCACTGGAACTACCGGTTCGCTAGAACTGGTCTGAATTGGCAGTAGCCCATCACCGATGTTGGAGCACCCACAACTTCCATTCCACTGATTAATTGTCCTCACTGACAGGGAATATCTTCTTATTTGTAGGTTAGTTCTTTCCTTATTATCTTGGCTTTAAGAAAAATGTATCTAGCTCAGTTGGTCTAAAGGAACATGAGTAGCATGCAGAAGTACAGAGAAGAGCAACCAGGATGATAAGAGGACAGGAGACTAAAACATATGAAGAATGGTTGCAGGAACTGGGCTTGGCTAGTCTAGGGAAGAGAAGGACCAGGGGAGACAGGATAGCGGTCTACCAATATATGAGGGGCTGCCACAGAGAAGAGGAAGGGGGTCAAGCTATTTTCTAAAGCACCCAAAGGCCAGACAAGGAATAATAGATGGAAATTGAACAAGGAGACATTCAACCTGGAAACAAGGAGAAACCAGTAGAACAACCAGTAGAACAGAAATTGCCTTCAAAAGTTGCGGGAGCATCATCACTTCAGACCTTCAAGAAGAGATTGGACCACCATTTGTCAGAAATGGTGTAGGGTCTCCAACTTGGGTGGGGGTGGGGGTTGGACTAGATGACCTACATGGTCCCTTCCAACTCTGATTATCTGTTAAAGCTGTTAAATCTGTTCCTTTTCAACAAGGGAGACAATGTATTTTTTTTTTAAAAAAAATATTTAACCTCATAAAGGAGAAGAAAGAGAATTCATACAGCAACTGAACTGAATAACAGACATTCTGTAACGAATATCTTCCTAATCGTCTTTTATGAGCTATTGCTGCCACCCAGGGTTGAACTGAAGGAAAGCCTCTGGTTTTTTTCCATGTTAAAAAAAAGTCCTTTAGGCACCTGCAATATTATAAACAAGGATGAATAGCAATCTATTCACATCACTTTTCAAACCCTTTTTGAAATGTAGCCGGGATCCCTCAAAATGCAGAATCAGTTCGCCATCCTATAACTTATCATTCCATTTGGTGAGCTTGTTTTTTTTTTAAAAAAAATGGTTAAGATTATTGATTGGGCCTTTTCTTCTTCTTTTCCCTGCAAGCTTCTCAGGTGGCCTCAAAATTGGACAGATGGGAAAATGACATAGTCAAAATAGATGGGTGATAAATAATAGAAAGAAAAAAAGGAAGGAAGGAAGGAAAGAAAGAAAGAGGGAAGGAGGATTGATTGAGTTTGAGGAAGGAATGAAAGAAGAGAGGAAGGGAGGGGAGGAAGGGAAGGGAACGAGGGAGGGAACGAGGGAAAGAAAGGAAGGAGAGGGAGGGGAGGAAGGGAAGGGAGAATGAAATGAAGGAAGGAAAGGAAAGAAGGAAGGAAGGAAAGATTGCATAGAGAACTGCTATTAAAGGACACTATTATCAGTGACCTTAAAGTAGATCGTTCAGTTTACAAAAGGCCAGATATTTTTTTCCCCTTCACTGAAGAAAGTCATCCTCGGTATGCATTATTAAGTTGTAAAAAATTTATTCTACATCTCTTCCAATCCAAATGCGGTTATGTATTTTGGTTGGCCAAAAATGTGCTGCTATCTGAGAAATCAAGCCATTTATTTTTCAAGCATACCTTTACGTGCACTGTGACTCGAGAACTGAATGTTGATGGGGGATAACAAAATGAAATTCTGGGATCCATGTTAAGTTTTCGCAACAGTCCTCTCCTCGGAATGGTCCACGTTTCCTTCTTCAAGCACGAAACCACGGAGAAGATACCCAGCTGGCAAGTTTTCACCACGGCGGCTGACCTCTGGCATGGAATCCAAAGGAGAAAAACCAGTATTTAAATAATAAATTTGTTTTACATTGGTTAGGAAAAGCAGAGTTTTTAAGCAAAAACTTCCAATTTTTACAACGGGGTTTAGCGTTGAGTATCATCAGCACTAGTTAACTGTTCTCTAATCTTATGTACAACCAATACTAGGTTTGATATTGTCAATGCAGTTTTAAATATTTGCATGCTGATTTTCCTGTTCTGGTTAATGGCCACAACTTTTCTTTTCAAATTCCAGTAACAATTTAGAATTCCCTTTTTAAAAATAATGCGTTTTATAGAAATGTTTGCAGATGAATAAGTTTGGAGCAGCTTTCTTTATTAACTTATTAAGGAAGTCCTATAAAATTCCAAATGTGACTTGCAAAAAATTATTTTGAAAAAAAACTTTTCTCTCTCACGTTTTGTTAAGAAAGTGGTAGGATTCAACAAGTGAATTCTTACAGATCTGCAATATTTTTAGTAGTTTTAAATCAATTTAAAGATAGAACAATTAATCAGTGGAACAAGTTGCCTTCAGAAATTGTAAATGCTCCAACACTGGAAGTTTTTAAGAAGAGATAGGATAATCATTTGTCTGATATGGTATAAAGTTTCCTGCCTAAGCAGGGGATTGGACTAGAATAGGGGGTCGTCAACCTTTTGGACCTTAGGGACCACCAAACTCATAATTTTAAATCCTAGGGACCAGTAACAGGTTCTGTGGGTGTGGCCTAATTTGTAGGTGTGGCTTGGTGGTCATGTGACTGGCTGGGCATGGCTTGTATGTAAATATTATAAATATTTATATAAATATTGATTTTTTTTTTGTAAAAAAGAGAAACTTTTACCCAAAATCAGGCAAAGCAGGCAGGCAGATTGAGTTGCTCACAGTGATCTATCTATCTGCCATCGGCTAGCTCAGTCTGTCACAGAAAGTTTGCTTGCTGTGAGTCTGCACTGAATAATAGAACCTCCTGAGGGAGGTTTGGCTGTGCTTAAAAGCAGAGCCGAAGTTCTAAAGACTAGCTAGAAAGCAAGAAATCCAACCATTTCCTGCTTCCTAGCTAATCTAAATATCACAGCTGATGGTTGGAAAAATAGCAATTTAGCACGCAAGTTTGCTGAGTAAGGAGTGAGTGGGAGGGGAGTGGCAACTGCTGGACTAGAAGACCTCCAAGGTCTCATCTAACTCTGTTGTTCTATTCTATTCTATTCTATTCTATTCTATTCTATTCTATTCTATTCTTCTCTTCTCTTCTCTTCTCTTCTCTTCTCTTCTCTTCTCTTCTCTACTCTACTCCATTCCACTCCACTCCACTCCACTCCACTCCACTCCACTCTAATTCTATTCTATTCTACTCTGCTCTGCTCTAATTCTACTCTACTCTACTCTACTCTACTCTACTCTACTCTACTCTACTCTACTCTACTCTACTCTACTCTACTCTATTCTATTCAATAGTATTTTCTTCTGCCTGGCAGTTTAAGCATGATTTTGGTTTAAAGAGTTCACTCACCTTCTGGCTGCCTTGATGTCCTTCCAAAGAGGTAGGAGTTAAGTAAATGGACTGGAAATTTCTGTCACTCACTTTCACCATTACTTCTTTGTACATTCCTCTGTAACGGGAAGTAAATGGGATTGCAATGCTGATTGGAGAAACGTTGAGTTGGTCAACCAATGAACACTCAACAGATAGGATGTTGCTGACAAGTTCTTCTGCCTCATCCACAACGAAGGGACTGAAATCATTGGCAACAGTGACCGTGAGATGTTCCAGAACTTTGCAAGGAGCTGTCACACTACACGATAGTTCAGGTTCTCCCAGTTCGTTCGGTTCCATAAAAAATCTATGGCCAAGAAATAACATTCATGGGGTGGGGGAGAGAGAGAAATGGATAGAACACAGAATGATAACTGGAGGGGACCTTGGAGGTCTGTCTTCTAATCCAACCCCTCTGCTTGAGGTGGAGACCCGATACCATTCTGGGCAAATGGCCGTCTAATCTCTTCTGCAAAACTGCCAGCAATGGTGCATCCATGGCTTCTCAAGGCAACCCATTCCACTGTTGAATTGTTCTCACTGTCAGGAAACCTGTTGTGGCCTGTCAGCAGCCAAATCAGAGGAGGAGGAGCTGGTGTGGGAGTCAGGTTCAGCATCAAGGCAACCTGAGAGCTCTGAGGGGGAAGAAGGAATGGAGCTGGCAGAGAGAGAAAGAGACAGAGTGGAGCCTGGGCCATCTGACAGCCCTCAGATGGAGTGTAAACAACCCCCAGGCCTGGAGGTGGCTGATGAGGAAGAGGATAAACAGCTGGGTCCAGCGCCTGACATGCAGATGTGCAGAAGCAGAGGAGAGGAGGGCAGTGGAAATCTATGGGCCGATCCTTGGGACTGAAGAGCCACCCCAGCTAGTGAAGCCCCAGTCAGCTGTGGGGATCAAAGGCAGGGGGCAGAGATGAATAGATGTGGCAGACAATTATTCATCTCCCTGCTGGACAGACTTGTTAGCCTGCGTTGAGAGAGAAACGTTTTGCTGGGGCTGTTGGCATTCCTAATAAAGGAATCATTGATTTAAAATACAGAGGGTTTGTCATGTGTCGGGAGCTGGGTCAGAAGAAACTTTCTCCTTAGTTCTAGGTTGGATCTCTCTTTGATAGGCTTCCATTCCTTACTTCTTAACCTGCTCTCTGGTGCTTTGGAGAATAGCTTGATCCCTTCTTCTCTGTCACTGCCCCTCAAGTACTGGAAGGCTGCTATCACGTCACCCCTAGTCCTTCTCTTTGTTAGACCAGACATGCCCCTAGAATAATTATTTGTAACTAGTTGAGGAACGGAACTGCATTAGGTCTTTTCAATGGTGGGGTCCACACCTTGACCTCGGGAAGAGATGATTGGTTTTACTTTGATGAGGTATCTTGTGTGGCCTCGTAGCATCACTTACAATTCTTCCCTGGTAATACTGATTTGCAAACTAGGGCATTCACAACTTTTGGTAGACCAATACTCGAATTCAACTCTGCTGTCTGGAATCCTCACTGTATATCTGACATAAATACAATTGAGCGTGTCCAGAAGTATTTTACCAGGAGAGTACTACATTCCTCTGTTCGCTACAGAATACCCTACACCACCAGACTTGAGATTCTAGGCTTAGACAACCTTGAACTATGCCAGCTAAGATTGGACTTAAGCATAGTACATAAAATCATGTGTTACAATGTCTTATCAGTTAATGAATATTTTAGATTTAACCACAACAACACAAAAGCACACAACAGATATAAACTAAATGTAAACCACTCCAAACTTGATTGCAGGAAGTACAATTTCAGCAATAGAGTGGTCAATGTCTGGAACTCACTACCTGATTCTGTTGTTCCATCTTCTAACTCTCACTTCTTTAACCTTAAACTATATACTATTGATCTCACCCCATTCCTAAGAGGACTGTAAGGGGTGTGCAAAAGTGCACAATCGTGCCTACCATCCCGGTCCTATTGTCCCCAATTATTAGTTCCTATTTCTTATATTTAAACATGTTTATTCTTATTTCTATTGTATTGTAGGCATTTGACAAAATGAATGAATGAATGAATAAATAAATAAATAAACAAATAAATACAGTAAATACTTCAAAGAACTGAATGAGGCTCCCCAAGGAAGAAACAAACACTTGTGTTGTTTGTAGAAGCAAGGAACACCCATTGATTGTTTTCTCTTATCCTTTGCTTTCTTAGCCTTATCTGCAGGACCATAAATAATCATACCGGCTACTTGGGAATGCAAGGCCACTGAAAAACCCTATTAAAATGTTAAGTATCATGTGAATGAAATATAATCCAATTATCTAGCTTCGTTATAAATTTACAAAATAGTTAAGGGAAATTGATTTTATTCCAGGTAATGACAAGGTGTTTTTTTTTTTTTTAATGCAACAGTAATAAGGTAATGGGCTGCCTTAAATTGCAGCTGCGTAGTCTAGCTAGGGCTTCTAAATATTACGGGTTTCTTTCCCTAAGAAATTTGGGGGAAAAAAATGAGGCAGTTTTCTTTCACCTCTCTCTTCCCTCGAGTGGTCTGGGCTGAACCTCCACCCCACATACATACATACATACATGCATACATACATACATACAAACAAACAAACAAACAAACAAACCAGAGGTGGGTATTCAGCAGATTCTGACCAGTTCTGGAAAACTGGTAGCAGAAATTCTGAGTAGTTCAGAGAACCGGCAAATGCCACCTTTGACTGGAGATTTTATAGTGTCCTTCCCCTGCCATGCCCACCAAGCCACACCCACAGAACCAGTAGTAAATAAATTTAAATCCCACCTCTGATACATACATGCAGACAGACAGACAGACGTACATACATACATACATTACGATTTCTATGGACTGTTTCCTAGTATGATTTGATCGCTTGTTGTACCCTATGACTATCATTAAATGTTGTACCTGATGATTCTTGATTCTTGATGAATGTATCTTTTCTGTTATGTACACTGATAGCATTTGCACCAAGACAAATTCTCTGTGTGTCCAACCACACTTGGCCAATAAAGAATTCTATTCTATTCTATTCTATTCTATTCTATTCTATTCTATTCTCTTCTCTTCTCTTCTCTTCTCTTCTCTTCTATTCTATTCTATTCTATTCTATTCTATTCTTTATTCCTCTATTCTATACATACATACATACATACATACATACACACAACATATGTACATACATACAGTGTGTGTGTGTGTGTGTGTGTGTGTATTCTGAGGTTCTCGCGGGTATTTGTATGTGGATCTTTGGTTATTCGGGTTTTCTCCCACGTAAGATTGGAAGTATCTAGGCAACGTTTCGACAAAGTCTCATTCATCATCTTCAGGCTTGTGTCTTCTGCTCTGTGCTTCTCTCTGTGCTATTCTGAGAAGCACAGAGCAGAAGACACAAGCGTGAAGATGATGAATGAGACTTCATCGAAACGTTGCCTAGATACTTCCAATCTTACGTGGGAGAAAACCCAAATAACCAAAGATAGATAGATAGATATGCAAACACACACATACACACACACATACACACACACATATATATACACACATATATATACACACATATGTACATAAACACACACAGACATATATGTGAAAGGGTGTTGGGCAATTCCTATGATGGCTTAATGGCTTTGTCCTGGTTTGGATCCTGGGTGAAGGCTAATCCTATCACTGCCTTTGTTCAGACTTTGCTGCAGGGAATTCAAAATATCCTGTCTTGAATGGATTTCTGCCTGCAGTATCTGCTTTGCCTATGAATAGAGCTACCTATCTCTTAAGTGCTGATGTCTGCTCAGGGCTATTAAGAAAGATGGGGGCTGCTTTCTCCCTCTAAAAAAACCCCCCATGTTTCTTCATTTCTCATCCTGCCTTTTTAATATTTCTCAGAGTATTTCATTCTTCTAGGAGAGGAGTGGGTGATAACTTTCTACGATGCTGTTTGAAACATCACTAAAAGAATGGCCCTAAGGCAAAGACTACTTGCCCCGGGGTGGGAGGAAATATGCACCAAATATTTGACTCTGTGATTTACAATGAGATGGAAAAGCAACATAGCTACAAAAAATGTTCCCACCCTCTTCGCTGATGATGTAAAACTATTTAACACCACTGAGAATGCCGTTGCCGTACAAAGGGACTTTGACTATATGTCAGAATGGTCAAACAATTGGCAACTTCAAATCTCAACCAACAAATGCTCTGTTTTACATATTGGCAACAAAAACCAGAACACTAAATACAAATTGGGTGGATACAACCTCGTAGATAGCCCTCACTCTGTCAAGGACCTACGAATACTCATTGCAAAAGATCTAAGCCACAGAGCTCACTGTAACAGCATTGCCCAAAAGGTGTTAACCTAATTTTGCGATGCTTCTTCTTCGGTAACATTGAACTGCAAACCAGGGCATACAAAACCTTTGCTAGACCAATACAGCTCATCTGCCTGGAATCAGCACTGTGTAACGGACATTAATACAATTGAGTGAGTACGCCATTCCTCTGCTCGCAATAGAATACCTTATGCTACCAGGCTTGAAATTTTGGACCTGGACGACCTAGAACTATGCCGCCTATGATCTGATCTAAGTTCAGTACACAAAATTGTCTGCTACAATGTCCTACCTATCAACAAGTACTTCAGCTTCAACCACAATAACACACGGGCAAACAATAGATACAAACTCATAGTAAACCACTCCAAACTCTGTTCAGAGTTTTGCAGTGTTAATTCAGCACCAGAAAAATAAACACAGGTGGCCGATGCTTCATCTAACATCTTTATAAACATAATAAGTAGATTTTACAAACCAGTTGTAGATTTCTCCAACATGGAGCCAACTCAGATAGAAACATGTTGCAAGTAACTTCAGCAGGCAAGCAAGCAAGCAAGCTTCATTTTCAACAGACAGACTCAGAGCTCAACATAGCCGAAGAGCTGCAGAGCTTAATATAGAGCCATGCTAGGCTACTTCTTGCTTCAGTTTCCAGCCTAGGCTACATCTAATTTCAGTTTACAAACTGTCCTCATTGGCTGATTTAGTTGCTATGCCTATTCATTGGCTAACCTTATTACCATGCTCTATTCTAGTTCATGAATATACTCTGATAAACTCAATTGCAGAAAATACGACTTTAGCAACAGAGTGGTCAATGCCTGGAACGCACTACCTGACTCTGTTGTTACATCCTCAAATCCCCAAAACTTTAACCTTAAACTGTCTACCGTGGACCTCACTCCATTCCTAAGAGGTCTGTAAGGGGGCGTGTATAAGTGCACCAGCGTGCCAACCGTCCCTGTCCTACTGTTCCCATTTATTTGTACTCATTTATTATGTATATACTTATACTCGTTTATACTTATATGTTTATACATTCTGTTCATCTTATAGTTGTTTTCTCATACATACTTGACCAACTAAACAAAACAAAATAAATAAATAAATCCCCAGGCCCAGAATACAAAGAAGACTTTTCCCCCCTCTTACTCTTTGTTACATTCATCTTTCTCTTCCTCCACCTTCTCAAGCAACGGGATAACGAAGCGGCTTTCCTGCAAATCTTCTGACCGTCCAGAACTTCCCTCTAGGCATTGGCCAATTGCATCGTTTGGATCGAAATCCCCATTTATAGCCTCCAATTTCCTTAGCAGGTTGCAAGTCTCACGTCCGGCTTCATCCAAGGTTCCTTTGATCCCTGCCTCGGTTTCTTGAGCGGGCATCATCGGAAAATGTTCTGTAACCATCTCTTTGGGATTTGGGGACACTGTGATCTTTTTCCCACCGTCTCCCAAAATGAGGTTTTCATGGATTTTCTCAGCGGAGGAATCCTCTGAGTAAGAATCCTTTTCATTCTTTGGCACTGGACACAGTTCTTCTGATTTATTGGGATTTTCACTGTTTACGAGCACTGGTCCTTCCTCTTCCTTTTCCAATTCTTGTTCCTGGAAGGGAACCAACTTCTCCAGCTCTGCCGACTGCTTTTCCTCTGACCTGCTCTCATTTTCTTCTCCACGTGGAGAGGGAGATGGAGTAGGGAGCTGACTCGTAGATACGTGTAACAGCGTATCTCTTTCCTCCTTGGTGCCATCCCTAGGAGAATTCACGGACCCATCTGGGCTGTGTTGATCACCATCAGGTTTTCCAAGCAGCTCATTTTCGGATTTTCCAAGGTCTTCAACCAGACGCAGCAGATGGGTGCTTAATCCCTGAAGCCACTTTACCAGGAGCTCCCATTCTGCAAGAGCAAACACAAGGATCTTTTAGGAGCAATTCCTTTTTTGGGAAATATGTACCCTGTTTCTCCAACAATATGGCCTCCCCCAATAGGAAGTCCCAGCATGTTTTATAGGCATGAAATGAAATTAAGCCCCTCCCCGCCAAATTAAGGCCTATATTAAAACATGCGAAATGGGGGGAATGGCAGGGGGGGCTTGCTGTTAGGAAGTACTTTTGTTGCACACCCGGATATGGTGCTGCCTGCGTTGACCCTGATATGAAGTGCCCCACCAATGCCGAGGTCAACATCCAAGCCATCGCTGCCTGCCCGCCCGAAGATACAAGGGGGGGCCTAGCCATTTTTTCGGGGCTCAAAAAAAAAAAAGACCCAGCCTTATTATATGAGAAACACGGTATGTATGTATGTATGTATGTATGTATGTATGTATGTATGTAGTAACCACCTCTCTCCTAGAAAAATGAAATGTCCTGGGAAACATTAAGAAGGCAGAATATTTCCTCTAAAAAGAGTAGAAACTCAGAAACAGAAACTCACCTCAGAAGTAGAAGCTCACCCCCACCTTTGTTAATGGGTGGACCATTAAGGCCTGGGCCAGAATACTTTACATAACAAAGATCTCCAGGTAAAGCTATAGCAATTGCCAAAAGCCCTTTTCAGTGCATCATCATCATCCAACAAGGCTCAATCAAGCCTGGGACTCAGGACAGCCTTAAGAGTTGCCCCTGCTTGGCCTCATAGGAGTCTGACAACCAATCAGAATACAAGCTCCAATTCAAATCCCAACAAAGGTGATAAAACTCAGGCACTCTCAGCATCTCAGCCCTTCTTGACCTTCTCTTCTCACCTTGAAGCATGTGGTCATCCTTTTCACTTTGGAGCTTCAAGCCATGTGGTCCTGCTGTCCACCATTAAACCTTCCAAACGGCCTCCATGTTTCCAGTGTCTTTTTTTTCCTACTTGGAACTGAACCCAGAAGGATATTCCAACATGTATTACGAACCATTCTAAAAATACGAGCTCCAGGTATACTTGTAAAAGAAGAAACAGATATCCTGCAATCTCTGGAACTGAGGTTGTCGCCCGTGATATAACTAAAGGAGGACGCCTTCTAAAAGAAGCCTGATTTTCCAACAGCAATTCTATCAATAGGCATATCAAGCTACCACCGACCTACCAAGCACTGAGACACCAGGAAAGACCCTGTAGGAAGAGCAGAAACCACTACCCATTGGGGAGCAGAGACCGATGGCATCCCCGCCCTCAACATTGCTGGGCATGTAGACTCATCCTATGAAGGCACAGCCAGGCCTGTCCAAATACAGAGGAACCTCTCAGAGCTGCCTCAAGTTATAACAGACAAGAAGAATGAAGAATGAGCCAGGCCAACCACAAGGTCACAAACAAAGCAACAAATTGCAATAGCTGGCAGTTTAACATCACCTCCTAGAGATAAGCGTTCCGGGCTGGGTTGGACAAGGGAGGAAAAAAACAACAAGAGATAAGCCTCCTTTGACCAACATGACCAAAAACAACAGAGCTAATTACAGATGGAAGGTGGTGGGAAGGGCCTATCTCACGTGCCAGGGCTAAATTGATTAATGATATATAAAGGCAGATATCTCTGTAATGGTAGCTTAATACTTCAACGATGTCAGCAGAGGCTGTCGAAAGCTTAGTAAGTACATTAAATGTAATTTTAAGTTCTGGAGATTGCAGGATGTATGTTTCTTCTTTTACACACACACACACACACACACACACACACACACACACACACTCACACACACATACACACACAGTGTAGAAAATAATCTACTGCAGGAAGGAACAAGTCCTAAAGGCTGGCTTTTCTTTTCTGTAAGTAATATATATATATATATATATAATGTGTGTGTGTGTGTAAAAGAAGATATATTATATTTATATTTATATTTATATTATATATATATTTGTTTTCTGAGGTTCTCGCGGGTATTTGTATGTGGATCTTTGGTTGTTCGGGTTTTCTCCCGC